GGCTTTTTGATTTGTATTTTTTGTTGTTGCCTTTTTTTCATGTTTTTTTTTCGAAATGTGACCCCTTTTGGGTACCGTATTAATAGGATCTTGTTCATATCGACAAGCAATGATTATATGGACGTGATTTGATAAATGGCATGTTTCTGTATGTTAATTTGAAACCAAAAGTGCTTCTGTTTGGAAAAAATCTTGGTTGAGGAGGGGAGGGGGGGGGAGGGTTTACATCTTACATAGACATATCAAGGCATTCACTAAAGACATTTGGGAGGTGGTCTAGTTATTAGGCTACCGGATTTGTAATCTTGAGACTGTGGTTTTGGGTATTCGTGGCTCAGCTCTGATTGATGTTTTTGGGAAAAATTATTTTCCACGAATTTTCCCATTTGGCTTGGTCCCATCGGAGACTGACATTACATTCGGAATTGCTGCCTGTTATATTATTATATAACCTTATAGTGGTGCAAGGGCTGTTAATAACAATAGTTCGCCCTTCAATGTCTGACGATGACCAATGCATTCGCTTTGGAGAATATTCCTTAAGTGAAATAGAAGAATTAAACGTTAAATTAAGATGACTTGTTGCTTCTGCTATGACCATTGAGACAAGTTCGGATGAAGAATACTCTGTCACATTTTGATCATTTAAAAACTGTCCACTGTGACTGCTGCTCTCCAATTGTGTCTGTCGAGAGCTTGGCCCGCCCATGTGGAAAGACAGATGTTGAAGTCCTTCAGGTACATCTTCAGAGTGTCTTTATCGCACTCTTTTAGCCAACTATACGCTTCCCTGTGGACAGCTGAGAACAGAATGCTGCCTTTGGGGTGATTAAATCAGACATTCCCACGACATGGCCAGTCCAGCAAAGCTGAGTCCTATTAGCTTAGAAAACAGACTCTCGGCATTTGCCATTTTGAGGTCTTCAGTGTTCTTGCTATTTGATACCAAGAATTACTCTTAAGGCTTTTCGTGTGTAAATGATTAAGCTTCTTAGCATGGACTTGGCACACTTTTCAAGTCTCGACACCGTACAACAGGGTTGAAAAGACCACAGCATTGTACACTTTCAGCTTTTTTCTGTACAAATGCCACAGTAGTCTCACACCGTAGGTCTGGGTTTTCCAGAGAATGCATTAGTTTTATGCATACGTAAAGTTATTTCTTCATCAATGCAGGCAATTTAAGACACAGTGCTGTCAAGATGTTTGAAGCTATCATCATTAGTCAGCACGAGCGAATGTGTGAGTGTGTGTTTGTGTGTGTGTATGTGTGTGTATGTGTGTGTGTGTGTGTGTGTGATGTGTGTGTGTGTGTATGTGTGTGTATGTGTGTGTGTGTGTGTGATGTGTGTGTGTATGTGTGTGTATGTGTGTGTGTGTGTGATGTGTGTGTGTGTGTATGTGTGTGTGTGTGTGTGATGTGTGTGTGTGTTCATGTGTGTGTATGTGTGTGTG